ATGTGAGAGAGACACATCAATTAGTTGCTTCCTGCAAATGCTCTGATGGGGCTGCGATCGAGCCTGCCACTGAGGTACTGGTGCTTGACTGGAATCAAACCCAAGACCCTTCAGTCCACAGGCCAATGCTCTGTCCACTGAGCCAAATCCGCCAGGGCTGGTTTTGTTTGTTTGTTTTTAATTTTTACCTTGGAAGGCTGTCTGATCGAACCATTTAAAAAATATGTAGCCCAGCCAGCATGGTTGAGCGTCGACCTATATGAACCTGGAGGTCAAGGTTTGATTCCCAGTCTGGGCACATTGCCGGTTTGATCCCCAGTTGGGGGTGTGCAGGAAGCAGGCGATCAATGGTTCTCTCTTCATCATTGATGTTTCTATCTCTCTCCCTCTCTCTTCCTCTCTGAAATCAATAAAAATATATTGGGGGAAAAAAGATTAGTGACATTTTGGGTCTGTTTTGAATTTTGTGCATTTTATCTGCAGTAATCCATAGTAGCTTATCTACAGTAAATGGTGAACTGTAGCTGAGATCTTAAATTTTTTCTTTTTCATTCCATACCACCTGCATAATGGAATCACCTTCATAATTCTTTTATTGTTTAGTTTAGAGATAGTTGCTAATACCAAACTCTGGATAGGATAAAGATGGCTTTAATGAAATGCTTGAATGCTAATGAAAGTTCCTTTATGTTTTGTTAACAGGCTTTTAAATATTTGAGAGAAGAAGTTAAAACATTTCAGGGCAAGCCAATTATGGTAAGAAACATTTGTAAGTAAGACTAGCATCTAACAAGAAAGATTTTTGTTGTTTGTCTACTAGAGAATTTTAAAAACACAAATGCATAATATTTTCTAAAACTCATAATGATTTCCAAGAAATTTCTGACTTATGTAACATGCTACTTCAGAAAATTAGTTGATGGGACATCAAAATACTTTCTATACAGCAATTCCTTTCTAAAGCATAACTTCAAAGAGTATGAAGTTTTAGTTAGATGCTGACTAACAACATGTAAGGTAATCCCAGATCTCAAAATGAGTAGAAATAATTTTTTAGTAACCAAGTGGAAAACATTTGTAATGCTTTCATCCTCATCTCAATTCACTACATCATTACATTAACATTCAACCATTTAGAAAACCTGGGAATTGACACTTGCTCACTTTCTTTACATGTCTGATCTATCCTCAGGTTACATGAAATCTGCCTTCAAAACTTCTTTCAATCATTATTGCCATTGTTTAGACTCAAATAATTAGAGTAGCCTTTTAACTGTGAGGCCTTCAGCATTTCCCCCTTACAGTTCATTCTCCACATTACTACCAGAGTTACTATCTAAAGTGGAATCCTGAACACTCACTCACTTTGACATGCTCCTCTTTCCTTATGTAATACAGAGTGAGGCAAGAGTAGGTTTAGACTTGATCATATGGAACATAATACAATAATAAATAATAATACAAAAATAACCAGTTTCACACACTCACAACTGTAAACCTACTTTGCCCCACCCTGTATACTATTTTTAAGTGCAACACATTATTCTTATTAATTCTTATTGAGCTCTTACTGTGTATCAGTTTCTGTTCTAATCACCATTATATGTAGAGTCATTTAATTCTTAAGAGAACCTAATAAGGTAGGTACTTGTTTTCTTTCTCATTTTTTTAATCCTCACCTGAAGATATGCTTATTGACTTTAGAGAGAGAGACATCAATTGGAGAAACATTGATTGCCTCCCATACCCACGTGCCCCAACCAGGGATCAAACCACAATGTTTCTGGTGTATGGAACAATTGCTCCAACCAGCCATGTTTTCTCTCTTTTACTGGTAAGGAAAGTGAGGCATGAGAGTTACCTGCCCAGTTTCACACCACTAGTAAGTAGAAGAACTAGGATGAGAGGAGCTTAAATTTATTAATAGATTATATGTCAGACACTATTCTAAGAACTTGACGTATTTAAATCTCATTATTGCTGTGTGGTAGGTGGTATTATTACTTTTCATATTACAGATGAAGCTCTCTGCCAGTTGTCATCGTATTTCCTCTGCCTCTAAGCCTGTTCCCACTATTATCTCCTTTCCCTGATTGAGGCTATAAAACTATTCTCCTAGGTCTTCTAATAGCTTATAAGTTTTATATATTGGAATTAGGATTTAGAAACATCTGGATTTAATTTGATATAGTATAAGATGGGTCTAATTTCATTTTTTTCTCTCAAAAAATGCAAAGTCAGTAGTGTCAACAGTTACCTGGGGGACAATTGACAGTTTTACTCTACATCAGCGGTTCTCAACCTGTGGGTCACGACCCCTTTGGCAGTCGAACGACCCTTTCACAGGGGTCGCCTAAGACCATCCTGCATATCAGATGTTTACATTACGATTCATAACAGTAGCAACATTACAGTTATGAAGTAGTAACGAAAATAATTTTTTTAAAATATATTTTATTGATTTTTTTACAGAGTGGAAGGAAGAGGGATAGAGAATTAGAAACATCAAAGAGAGAGAAACTTCAATCAGCTGCCTCCTGCACACCCCCTACTGGGGATGTGCCCACAACCAAGGTATATGCCCTTGACCGGAATCGAACCTGGGACCCTTCAGTCCGCAGGCCGATGCTCTATCCACTGAGCCAAACCAGTTAGGGCGAAAATAATTTTATGAGGAACTGTATTTAAAGGGCCAGAAGGTTGAGAACCACTGCTTTACATTATTCAACATTATAACTTTTTAATGAGAATATTTCTCTGTTAATTCAGGCCTATTGTGTTTTTTAATTAGTTCCTTAAAGTAATTTTTGTTGCTTTTCCCCCCTCTCCGTTGTGTCTTAGTGATTAAAAGAACAACAACATATTACTATATGTAGAAACCTTGCCTATCTCCTTTATTATATCTAGTGGTTTGTTGGCTCTTTGTATTATCTGTCTGAGAGATCATATCATCTATAAATAATTACTATTTTGATCCTTACTCTCATTTCTTATAGCTTATTACTTTTCCTGAGATTTCAGGTGTAGTGGAAAATGTATACATATTTCATTATAAAATACTAGAGGCCCGGTGCACAAAAATTTGTGCACTGGGGGGGGGGGGGGGCCCTCAGCCCGGCCTGTGCCCTCTCGCAGTCTGGGACCCCTCAGGGGATGACCACCTGCTGGCTTAGGCCTGCTCGCCGGGGGGATTGGGCCTAAGATGGCAATCAGACATCCCTCTGGCAGCTCGGCAACCCTCAGGGGATGTCCACTTGCTAGTGGGGAGCAGACTTAAGCTGCAGTCGGACATCCTTAGTGCTGCTGAGGAGACAGGAGAGGCTCCCACCACCACCGCTGTACTGGCATCCATCAGCTTGGCTTGTGGCTGAGCAGAGCTCCTCCCAAGTGAGAGCGCCCTGACCACCAGAGGGCAGCTCCTGCATTGAGCGTCTGCCCCCTGGTGGTCAGTGTGTGTCATAGTGA